GAACATCAACATGTGTAACACGCTTAGGATCATTTGAGATTATGTGATCAATCAAGGTCTCACTGTGAGGGGTAACTCTTGTTGGCTTTTGCACGTGCTGTGTTAGGTTAAACGTGTTCAATAAATCTGTATACTGTTTTGTCAACGGCGCATTTGGCTTGTCAATCACAAGAGGGTTGTTATAGCAGGCGTTCTTCCTTTCTCCCAGTCCCCCTCTTTCCCCATTTAACACCTGTTACGCAGGCTAGGCTTTTTTGTGCTAATTCAATCACTCAAAATCGAAGTTTCTTTTTTTTTGGATCACGACACAGGCGACCCAAGCTCTCAATGTTATCTTTTTTTTTCACTTTTATGCGAACGTTCAGCCTAACGTGACATATGGCATATACTATTACATAACGACCGAATTTGACTACGCGAAACGCGACTCTGGCCTTGCAGCATATGGAGGTGCTGTTACAACGGTTTGAATTTATAAAGGTTTGTATGAGAACGCAACGGCTTTGCTTGAAAAGTCAATTATTCTTATATTTTGTGAATAAAATCTACTTACCCTGTTACTGTGTTGTATTCTTTGTTGTTTGCCAGCTCCTNTCAAGGTCTCACTGTGAGGTGTAACTCTTGTTGGCTTTTGCACGTGCTGTGTTAGGTTAAACGTGTTCAATAAATCTGTATACTGTTTTGTTAACGGCGCATTTGGCTTCAGCACGTCAATATTTAAATCCCCAGTAACAAGCAATAAACCGTCCCACGAAGTTGACAGATCCGCCAACATGCTCTCCATTTGGGATATCCACTGTTGGGTATCTAGTATTCTTGTGGATCTGTATATCGTTCCCATTAATAAGTGACTATGTTTGTTGCGTCTTTGAATTTCAAGCCACAAGTGTTCTAATTCAGGGTATCTTGATTCAATATCCTTACACCTTTTGTACTTCACACTTTCTTTAATGTCTGCACCAACGCCTCCACCTTTGATTTTATCTCTGTTCCTAAACTCATTAGCATAGCCAGGAATAGTTACATGGCTAAG